TGTCATGTGGAATTAATATATTAAAGGCCGGCAACGCACTTGCGAGCCTTCTGGCAATGTGAGTGTCCATGAGCGACGGTATCATGTACATGATTGTCCATTTCGTGGCACCGGATTCTCTCAGCGATTTTACTTGACATACTTTGAATACAGATAAGTTTTACTTTGAGCTGCTCTGAATATTTTTTTTAAATTTCTCTCATCTTTGAGATTCTCAAGAGATCAAACAGCGTTTGCGCGTAAGATTCCCGACCCTGAGGTCGTGGGTTTCAATCTCGGTTGTGCACCAATGCACCGTGTGCGCATTTAACACTAGCACGTACGAAATTCACAAATTAACGATATGTGTCAGACATCGTATGACTAAATACTTGTTTGTAACTACACCTTTAAGCCAAAAATGTTTTTTAAAAAAACCAAGAGAATAATTTTGCTTTTAATTTTCTTATCCAACCATATTTGACTGTTATTAATAAAAATATGTTGTTAAGTCAATATTACTAGTTGAATGAATGTAACCAGATTTGAAGATTTTTAAATTAAACAACTTGTCTATTAAGAAAGAAACAAGAACAGGTGCGAAAGTGCAAATAAACAAATTTGAATGCGAAACTGATTTATTTCTTGAAAATACAATGCTTAAAAGCCTTTAACAACTTCCATAAATTTTGTCAAGTATTTCAAGTCAGGGTCATATTTCTTTAGGAAGCTGTCGTAATCAGCTGGAGCGTTCGAGCGCAAACCGTTCATGTATGTGTTGGCCAAATGCTTCTGAGCGTCGTTACAACGGTCGCACAAGCCTTCAATACTCAAAGGAACTATTTCTGAAAACCACAAATAAATTACTTTAACTTTTTCATGTTAGCAAGAAAATAGCAAATTTTGAAAGAATTGTATCGAAATTGATTATTTGCGTGAGACACTGTAGTTGATATAATTTTAATAACTAATGATATGTACGATACAAATAATATAAGAATTGACCAATTCATGACTAATAATGTAAAATGTAAAATTCCTTTAAAGACAAATTTGCGCTCTTGTGTATGGCAGAATATGCGAACTTACGATTGTACCACCTTACATATTTTTGTATTCTTGCAATAAATTATTATTATTGCGCCCATTGATGTCAATTCGCTTTTAATTAAATTATACTAGACAGTTAATTATTGAATTCATAATTAGTTTTATTTACAAAATTTTTCACTCACTTCATAAAGATTCGATTTTAGATTCACGAGATACTTAAAGGAAGTTCCCGGTAATTCAAAAGCCAGGGCCTAACTAACATTTAATATGAAACACATTTTTTACTCACTTCTGTAACTCAATGAAACAACATCACATGGGCCTCTATCCAAAAAGCAGTCAGTCATGGCTTTGAGCTTCGCTGGGTCGTCTACCACCGCCTTCATATCCAGGTTATCATCAGCTGTCGTAAAGTAATCAATCGGGTCGGCTAATGCAGCGCACACAACCGCTAACAGCACAATGATTTTCATCTTGAATAATTTGACCTATTTAAACAAAATGTAAATAGATGATTAAAAAGAAAGCAATAAAGAGAATAAAACGATCGTACATTTGATTCCTGTGACTAACGCATTTTCCAATGCACATTAATTAATCATCACGCTTTATATGCAGCACAAAAATTAAAACAAAAACAGGTAATGAGAAAAAGTAGAAAAAGGCGGCACGGCTCACGTGGTTGTTCCAAATATTTATAGCTGAAGGTGCGCGATACAACAACAGTTCACGAGAGTGATTTTACATATTTTTCTTCTAACGCTCTTCTAATGCTCAATAGAAAAGTTTTCTAGGCTTTTATGTATTACACAAAACGACGCAGTAAATAATAACCAGTTCCCATTTCTATCGTTATTGTAATTTTACGTGTATTTCGCATATTTCTTTAGGTCTCAAATACGACTGGTTATTTCAATATAATAATCCAGGCGTAAGTTGCTTTGTATTACATTTAATCTATTATCGAAATTAGGATTTGAACGAAAACGAGTAAACGAGAAAATTTTAAAAAGAAATACAAAAATAACAGTTTATCCAGGAATTATAGAAAATAAATAAATAACGGAAAAAAAGAAAAAAATATAGATATAAAAGATACAAAAAAGGGTCCCCAATAAGATTGAAGTTGCTGTCGCAGGCACTCTCTGTAGGCCTATCTTAATTAATTTATAATAAGACTAGCAGACCGGCCAAGCGTTGCTGTGGCTAAGGTTTTTGTTATATTACATAGTAGCAAACTATTCAAGGGAATCGGTAGGAGAGCACCAGTCATAGGGACCACCATGCTTTTTTGGTGGTTATGCCATTAAATTGTAGCTTATGTGCAACGTTGGTACTTTCAACACAGCGCCATCTGTTACAACTGTGACTCAAATAATAAACAAATAATTTGCAATAAAAAATATTTCGGCTATAAATTAAGATGTAAGCTTTTAAGTTGGATCAAACTGCACCCGGTGTGCAAATTTAATTTAAAATCGGTTTAGTAGTTTAGGAGTCCATCGCGGACAAACAACGTGACACGTGATTTAAATATATTAAGATAAAAAAAACAAATCTTGTTGACTTAGAAATCTTCCAACAATATAATAAGATACGTACCACAGTGAGAATTATAACACACTAATAATTATACAAAACGAATATGCTTTTATAGTAAATGTTTATTATATCTTTGGCAAATAAATATAATTATCAACTTTACGATTAAATTAACGTGACAATTTAGAATATATTAAATGCTTTATTACATAAATAATTATCTGACATAGTTTCAAAATAGACACGCATTGTATACATACAGAAAATGACTAGATACAATCTGTTCAATACTTGATTTAATATACATATTAACAAAAACGAATATTTAAATCGCCTGTCAAATTTTCATAGCAAATGGTCATGGTTTTAAATTTTGACGCCCATAAGTGTACATTGTGTTAGCTACATGAATAAATGATTTTTGATTTGATTTGATTTAAAACCCCTAGGATTAGATTAAAAGGGCCCAATAGTCTCTAATGCCACCAGCCTTGCGCGGTCTGTATTTGAGGTGTCACTTATATGTTTTGGAAATCGGATTTACAAAGAGGATCATGCCAGCTCCTTTGAAAATTTAAAAGTTAAAGCGATTGAATTTGTTTTAACAATAAAAACACTTACAATCTTTTCAAATTGTCTGTATTAAACTAATAATTATATATGTATATTAGAAAAACTATTAACTCCAAATATATCCATGGCTTTCTTTCTCCATTCACCATTACTTTTTTAAGGGCGCCTTCCTCCCATTGGTTCTTTCGATTATGCCAAAAGGCGGAAGTTATTGTTACAAATTAAAAATATATAATATATAACTAGTCTGGCCATAAATACTGTTACATGAAAACTTTACTTTTTTTTTCAACTTTTTAATAATTTTGAATTTGGCACACGTATATTATTTTAAAAACTTCTTTCGATTTTGCACCATTTTTCATTATTTAATTACATTTGTTAAAGAAACCGTTGGCAAACAGATTAAAGGCCTGAATAAAAGCCAAAGGTGGCTGTGGCCAAAGGTGGATTTTGAATAGAATATATTTTTATTTTTGCTGAAACTTTAATAAATATGTAGATATAAATTTTAATAATATTACGTTACTACAAAAAAATGCATTTTCATTTGTAATAGAACTTATCGCTGGCCTTGGTGTATTAAATGCTCTCTAAATTTATAAAATTATATACGATTGAACATTCTATTCTGTAGCATTACTTATAGCTTCCTTCAATTCTACAATGGCTTTATTAAGTGGCCTTGTCTTGTGGATGATGGAATAGTTGCCAAACTCTGCGCAATCTGCGTTTCTCCTGGATCATCATCTTTATGTCCAATGTTATGTTTGTGGGCTGGTTTCTGTGTTCAGTAATAGGCATTCTTTGCCAGGCGGCGTCTTGTATGAGATTAGTAAACTGCACTACTGCTGTTTCAATTTCCTCTGCTTCTTTACTTCTTAGATAAAGGTTTTCATTTATGTGCCCTGAAGGAGGGCCAATCAGTATGCTGTTTATATAATCTCTCGACTTCAATTATAGTGGAGCTGATAGTAAGTATGACTGGAGCGTGATCAGATGACTCATCAGCACATGACCTGATCTTCATGTATTGTTTGGAGAGTCAGAGTCCTTTTGTTTGGAAGAAATCGAATATCTCCCGGATTATGATCAGCCAGTTGGTAGGTTCTGTTGGAGCAATTATGTTTAGGTGATTTGTATCGGTGCTGAACTTCAATTGTCTTTTCCTAGGTGTAGTCTTGAGCCCCAAATGGACATGTTTGGAGTTCCAGTCGCCTCCTGTTATGAAGTGATTGCCTAGACTAGAGAAGAAGTGAGGAACAGGTTGGCGTCTATTCGATGTTTTGGACAGTAAATAGCTGAGACATAAAAGTATCATGTAATGCGACCGTAGTAGCCCGTATTTGCTCGGTTCTATATTCAGGCAGTAGATGGTGCATCGTTTTGTCTCTAAATAGCTGATCCTGTACCATGGATGGTTCGTAGTGTATGCCTGGAATCCTTTGATTTTGGTTTTGTCTTTGCAGTGTGCTTCCGATATTTGGACTACGTCTAGTTTGTGCTCAGCTACAAGTATCTCGAGTTCGTCTTTATTGAGTGAGAGTCCATTTATGTTTCAGGTCACCAGTCTGAACCCAAGGCCTGTTAGCCTTGCAGTTTGGTTATGAAGGTCGTGAGACTCATTAGAGTAAGAGTCTCTTTGTTGTAAGATCACTGTTATATAACATAATCACTCCTATCTTTGAGATAACTATTTAAAAAAAATCAAGTAAAAAGTCTTCTTATCGAGAAATGTATATAACATACTATGCTACGAACTAAATAGCGCAGATCCGCCTTAAACGGCTTTTTTAAGCCGTTTTCTTAAATAAAAAGAAAAATGCACATCAATAATACTTTATTATCACTAATCAATAATCCTTAACAGCCTTCCTGAAGTTGTCTTCGTAGATTCCATGAGGGTCATATTTCTTCATGAAGTTTTTATATTCATCTGGTAGATTCCAGTAGAGACCGCGGACATAGGTGTTTGCCAAATGCTTCTGGGCGTCGTTACAACGGTCGCAAGCGCGAGCGATGGAGTCAGGGACGATCACTAAAATTAATTGCAAATTAAAAGTAATACATTCGGTCATGAATATTTTGTGATATTTTTATTTGTAAGAGGGTCCAACGTGCAGGAGGCTCATCTGATGTTAAGTGATAACCGCCGCCCTTACATTGCCAGAGGGCTCACAAGTGCGTTTAATTTTTGGTTTCCGCATGACAAGGGATTCATTGCATTGCAAACCACGTAAGTTAAATTTCGTTTCTTTGGATCGCGTCGTTGTTCTTCGCTAGGGAATGCAAACAACAAAATCGCCAAATTACATGGTAATGTTGGTTTAAAGTGGGTTTAGATTAGCTGATTCCTAGGATATTACTTGTATCTGAGTGACCCAGAAGATCTACTTCCATCCACCCAGTTGTGTGAACTATTCGATTCGAAGAAATTCTTATTGTGATACATCGTGCCATGATTTGCGGTTCCTAAATTGGATAGTATCTCAATTTTTAATTTTATATTTATGAACGTTTCATTATATTACTATGCTGGTTAAGAAAATTGTAAATACTAAGAATAAAAATATTATTATCTTAATTATAAAAACATCACACATAACACAATTCACGCTTCAAAACGATTTATTTGCGAATTTATTTTAGTAGCTAAATTTCGACTCATGCCAACGAAAAAATCCAACGGAGCCATAGCTTCACTTACATTTGTAACTCTGAGCTACAGGACCACATGGGCCTTTATCCATGAAGCAGTCAGTCATGGCTTGTAGCTTCTTTGGATCGTTTACCACCGCCTGCATATCCAGATTATCATTAGCAGTCGTATAGACATCAACCTCATTGGCTAATGCAGCGCCCACAACCGCTAACAGCAAAATGATTTTCATCTCGAATTCTTAAACCTATTAAAAAAAATTTTTTTCAGAATTTGAAGATATATTTATCATCTATTAACCCATTTAATCATTAAACCTGTTTCCATGGCCTATAAATGGAAGTATTAAATTTAATGAATCGAAATATTAAAATTATAGCTGAAACTAAAACAGGAATATAAACTATGTTCTCTGTAATCTAGAATATGTGTTAATTATATAAACGATTAATTAATAGCTCTTATCTTTAATTAATGATATATTAAATAACGACTTGTTGTTGTGACAAGAAACAATAAAATAGCAATTATCATTGGTAGAATATACTAGTGCCGTTCAAGTATTACGTAAGCAAAGCTCTCAAAAATTAATAGTACGTAAACGTATTAATTTTTTGTTGGAATCCTCGAAAAACCATTTCGTTTTCAACGATAGACAATGTGTGGGTAATATGTAAGGGCTGTTGACGTAATCACCAAATAAGAAAATTAAAGAGTAAGACTCCCCCATATAGTGGTTACGTAATACATCAACGGCCCCCTATACGTAATCGTGCGATAAAACGAAGTTGGTCAGGTATTCAGTTCATAATTGTTGTTATTTTAGTTTTTAACTCCTATCAATATCAAATTAGTGTCTACGACATTTTTTGGTCTGGGTCTGGGTATTTGTTTTATGAAATTTGTCAATCTTATATTCGACTTTTTGGGTCTAAGGCAAGCAGGTTTCCTCACGATGTTGTCGATCAGCGTTCGAGCGAATGTTAAATGCGCATATAGAAAGAAACTCTATTAGTGTACAGCGTTGTGGAAAAGTGATTGTTTATAAATGTTACGGTATATTTTACAAGATTGGCATATGACGATTCGCTTTCCTCAATGCCAAAATAATCAATATGCCGCTGTCTTTTTTTCTTTTCTTTTATGTAATGAAATTGCCTTTTTTAGTGATCGGATGTGTTAAGGCGTTGCCACGGAGCACTATGCCGAGCGAGTACAGGTACCGGAATATGCACGTTGAGACAGAAGGCAACTTAGGGGCACAAGTAAACAGCACAATTGGGGGATGCCATCAGGTCCGCTCGACTTATGAATGCCCGAGGAAGATAGTGCTTTGCGGACAGCACGTTGCCAGAGTAGTTCCGGCAAAGAGGAATCACGCCTATTTTAATATCTAAGCTTGAAGGTAAAAAAAGGCAAAAAATACTGGTATTATTGTGAAAAAAGCGTGGGTTACTCGATAGACGAAAAATATGACACAGAGCGCCCCACGCTTTTTCACAATAATACCAGTATTTTTTGTTCATTACCATTTTCAGCCTAAATTAGGAATTATTTTTCACTTATTAGTTTGATGTGCTTTAAAAGCGTGTGTTCTAGTTTTTTTTAACTATTATTTATTTTTTAGTTAATTTTTTTTTTTAATTTTTTTTTCGGATTATTGCATTGTCATCGATCTTTGACAGATGCGCAAAGTTTGAATTAAATCTGTCCGTTAAAATTGGGTCAAAATCGAGTCCGAAGGAGTCGGTTACATACAACATACATACATACATACATACATACAGGTGAAGCTAATATAAAGCGTGTAAAAATAAACATACATATTTTTTTAAATATAGTTTGTCAGGTTTTATCTTTTTATTTTTGTTAAAATTTTTATATATGTATTTATTTTTAATTATTATTAGTACTGTGTAAGAAAATTGTGAATACTGTATATTTTTGTGTAGGAAAAAAATACTTAAAAACTAAAAACTATTTTTTGATTATAGTGGTGTGTAACAGTCAGGAAACAGCGATATAATTTAAAGTATTCTTACCAAGTCACGAAGATAGAAGTCGACAAGTGATAAATTCACTCAGAAACCCCCCATTTTATACTCAATATCTCGAAAATCAATTTTATATATTTTTCACCATGAAATAGATTATATATTATAATTTCATGGTTTTATCAATAAAGTTTCATATAAACTTTGTCCTTCCAGTGTTTTAGCGTTTAATTTGTATTTGTCAGAGGCTAACGGGCAGGAGGACAACTAAGAGTAGAAACAACTGTCAGTAATTGTCATTCACAAAACCTGTTCCCAAGAGAAACAGAAGTATTTTTGAAGAGCAGTGATGGCCTAGTGGTTTCAGCGTGCGACTCTCATCCCTGAGGTGCCTGCCCTTTCCTGCCCTGCTCCTTATAGTAATAATAATAATTTATTCATTGCAAAAATATGTTACAAAAATGTGTAAGGTGGTACAATCGTAAGTTCGCATATTCGGCCACACACAATGGCGCGCAAATTTGTCTTTAAAGGAATCTTACATTATTAGTCATATGATTTGGTCAATTCTTATATTATTTGTATGGTACATATCATATCATACTTTATTAAATATATATCAACTAAAGTGTCTCACGCAAATAATTTTTGAATAGTACAATTTTTTCCAAAAGTAATACCCAAGATCTTTTTAGTCAGTCTTTTAATTATTTTGGTAACTTATTGTAAACCTTAATTGCCATACAAACTTTCTTTCTATGTGCACATTTAACATTTGCTCGAACGGTGATAGAAAACGAAATTGTAGAAAAAATAAAGTTTTCCGAGTTATTTACTTGTTAGAGAAATAAAATTGTATTATTTCTGGCCAGTCTCCTACATTTTTTGGGTAGGTATTTATTTATTGACGTGATATTGTCTTATATAGATGAACGCACGAAAAAACATGACAGTGTCACGTTCCGCCTGAGCCGAGCATAACATGACTCATTGTCACGTTCCGCGTGACGAGTATCTTAGTTTATCGAAAAAAGAAAACAATTAACTCCTTTGTATTATACAAAATAATGGTAATAATTCAATTCAATTCATAAAAGTATGCAATGTTCCATCAATGTTTTCTTATAACGTTATCACGTAAAATTATCGTTTGTAAACCGATTATTTACAGCTTACAGATTATTTAAAATATTATAAAACTATAATAAAGTTATTTTTACAAAATTAACAGAAAGCATTTTGCTATCCATTAATCTTCTCAATGTACATTTTTAAATCATAGTATAATTCATAGCTCATCATAGTAAATACGCTTCTCAAATACGAGGTCACTCCCAGCGAAGAGGCGAGAAAACTACTTTAATCAAAGCTGAATCTCTACAAGTCTAGTGATATACTCATACAATAAAATCCAGATAAGAATTTTGTATATTAGGTATATAATTCTTAGTATATTAAATTTCGTAGTTGTTTGTCCTATCTAATAATCTATCATTTGTAGGTCTAATAAAATTCTTTATATATATATATATATATAATTCTACTATACGTGTGTATGTCACTGAACTCCTCTTAAACGGCTGGACCTATTTGAGGTGGAGCCCTGGAAGATTTAGATTCATAAATCAGCCCGGCAGATGGCGCTACAGTCGGTACTTTCATACTTTGTTTAATATCCTAATCGCTTGAAATATCATGCAGGACATATATATCGATTAAATTAATAATGTGACTGGTTATATTGGTACAAATCTTGAGCACTATAATATCACATGCGCACATGGGAAGTCTCAATAAAATAGCTGCCGTGGCCGACTCGGCTCTTGAAGAACGGGCCTTATTACAAAGGTTAAACGTTTTGAATAAAAAAGTCGCTAGAATTAAAATCAGTTCTATTAATCTGTTATTACGCTATGATTTGATTTTAATGCAGGAAATAACTCAAAATGGGTTATGAAAATAATGTAGTAAAATAAAGTTTTATTTAAATCTAAATTATCTAATTTCTGTGTACATTGTACTAACCTAACATAAAAAAATATACATCTAATATATAAAATTCTCGTGCCTCAATGTTCGTTCCCATACTCCTCCGAAACGGCTTGACCGATTCTTATGAAATTGTTTATGCTTATTCAGCAAGTCTGAGAATCGGCTACTATCTATATTTCAAACCCTTAAGTGATAAGGGGTGTCCACCTCAAAAAAAAGACAATTTTTTTGTTTATATTTTGTTTACATACAACATACAAAAATACATACAACCCTTAATTTTCAGCCCTCTACGATTAAACCCTAGTTTTTATTTGTTAATTAAAATCTTATGACTTGAACTCTGAAATAGGACTTTATATATTTAAATAAATATTTTAATGTTCGCAAAGAATTATTGTAAAATTTTAATAACCAACTCCAAAATGAGAATTAAATTAAATAAAAAACCATTGCTTTAAGCTTAGGGTGACAGATAGACAAATAGAATGTAACATGCAGGTCCTAGGATCTATCCTTCTCTGAAAAAATATTATTCGGGAGTGACCTCACCTATAGTTATGGATGATCTAAGTTAGAAAGTAGTACGAATACATTTTACATGAAGATGTTTTTATTAAAATAAACATGACAATTGTTTAATTAGATTGGCAGTGTTAGCACTTAATATTCTCCAAAATCACGTTTAGGTGTTTCAATGGAATTCGCCGATTTAGCTTAAATACTGTAATTTACGTAGTAGTGAAGTATATATAAAAGCAAGTATTTTCTAAAATAATAATTGTGTTTCAATAGTTACCGTGGTAAGTGTTTTAATTTATTATTTACATACACAATATTATTCGGGTTCTTACTATTTTGAGCAGTGTTGGCCTAGTGGTCTCTCATCCCTAAAGTAGGTTCGAATCCCCCACTAATGGACTTTCTTTCTGTGTGCGCACTTAGCACTCGCTCGAACAGTGAAGGAATCACCTACTTGTCTATGAGATTGACAAATGATCATGTAATACAGAAATCTGTTCATGTAACATATACCAAAAAAGCAACAATTAAAACATATTCTAGATTAAAGAGAACATAGTTTATATTCCTGTTTTAGTTTCAGCTATAATTTTAATATTTCGATTCATTAAATTCAATACTTCCATTCGCATAGCCCATGGAACAGGTTTTATGTTTAAGTGGGTTAATTAATAACAAATTCTGAAAATAATTTTTATTTTTTTACAGCATTCAAGATGAAAATCATTTTGCTGTTAGCGGTTGTGTGCGCTGCTGCATCAGCCGATACGATTGATTTCTTTTCTACTGCTGATGATAACCTGGATATGAAGGCGGTGGTAGACGATCCAGCGAAACTAAAAGCCATGACTGACTGCTTCTTGGATAAAGGCCCATGTGATCCTGTAGCTCAGAGTTACAAATGTAAGTAAATCTGTTTTCTATGCCTCCATTGTCTTTATTTTTCGATGGCATTTTAATTATAGTCGAAATTAAAATCACCAATAAATTGTTTTGAAGCGTGAATTGTGTTGTGTGATGTGTATAATTTAGGTAAAAATGTTCTTTATTCTTAGTATTTACAATTTTCTTAACCTACATTGTAATAATAATATTAATTAATTAATAAATAGAAAAATTAAATATCCACATTAGGAACCACGAACCACGGCACGATTTATCGAAATTTCGTCGAATCGATTCCCTAGCAAAGAACAAGGACGAGATCCAAAGAAAAGAAATTTAACTTACGTGGTTTGCAATGGAATGAATCCCTTGTCATGGAATCCAAAAATTTAACGCACATGCAAGGCCTCTGTAAGTGCGAATGTATGTGTCTATGGACGGCAGCATCACGTAACGTTAGATGAGCCTCTTGCCCGTTGGCCTCCTGTTACATCTAATATATAAAATTCTGATGTCACTATGTTCGTTCCCACACTCCTCCGAAACGGCTCGACCGATTCTTATGAGTTTTTTATGCAGTTTACAAGTTTGAGAATCGGCTACTACATATTTTTCCACCCCCTGAGTGATAAGGGGTGTCCATCCCAAAAACAATATTTTTATTTTTTAGACAATGTTTTTTGGTTTTTATTTGTAAAAATAAATTTTTTCACCCCTCTACGATCAACCCTATTTTTTAATTATTAATTAAAAACTTATGACTTGAACTCTGAGGTTTATACAGAGAAAAATTCACAGAACAACCAAAAAAGCTTTCGTTCGGGAAAACCGAACAGTTTCTGGGGTAGCAGCAAAACGTTCCATGTTGGTATGTACTAAAAAGAGTAGGCAGGCTAAGTAAAATTACATTAAGGAGAAACGAAGTTCGCGGGGGCAGTATATGTATAAATATGTCTCAAAATATCCATATATATATATATTTTTTTAATTTGCAATTGATTTTAGTGATAATTCCTGAAGCTTTCCCTCACGCTTGCGGCCGTTGTAACGACGCCCAGAAGCATTTGGCCCACACATACCTCCGCGGTCTCTTCTCGAAAATACCAGAGGATTACGATGACTTCTTGAAGAAATACGACCCTCAAGGAATCTACTTGGACAATTTCATGGAGGCTGTTAAGGATTATTGATTATTGACAATAAATTATTATTCTCCATTCGTGTGTTTTTTCTTTTTAATTAAGAAAACGGTTTACATAACCCGTTCAACGCGCAATCATCTGCGTTATGTGGTAGCGTAGTATCAGTATGTATATAAATTTCTCGATAAGAAGACTATTTAACTGAATTCTTCTTTTTTAATGTGAACTAGCAGCTATAGAATAGAATGTTCAATCGTATTAGTATATAATTATTTAAATTTAGAAACTTTTGGCATAATCGAAAGGACCAAGGGGAAGAGGGCACTCTTAAAAAAGGTGATGATGATGGTGATGGTCGTTAGCAGGAAGCGAATGGAGAAAGAAAGCCATAGATGGAGATATTTGGAGTTAATGGTTTTCCTAAGATACATATTTAATTATTAGTTTAATACAGACAATTTATAAGATTTTAAAGTGTTTTTATTGTAATAACTAATTCAATCGCTTTACCTTTTCAACTTTCAAAAGAGCTGGGATGATCTTATGTCAAAATTTATTAAGTCACAATTACAGACCGCGGAAGGCTGGTGTCAGTTGTGTTTAGACACAACTTTGATTTTGTCCCTTTGGAGTAGAGACTTCAAGTGCACAGGCGCTAATTAAAGATTTAAGTTGGCGCCTGATAGATAGTACCGGCGAAAATAGCATTAAAGGTACATAAGCACAGGAACCAAACTTTTAAAATTGGTTTTAGTTTTCCATTTATCAGTTTTTAATCATTTTTTTTATAAGTATATTCTTACGAATATCGTAAACACTGTACATTTGTGTGTTGGAAATAAAACAATTAAAGGCTAAAATTTAATGGCATTTTTTTTATATTTAAAGGATATTGGTGCCAATATGCATATTAACGTAAAAGTACAAGGAAAATGTAAGTAATTAAGATACCCATTATTCCATACAAGTTGAGGTAAAATGAGTCAATAAATTTAACACCATTGAATACATTCACGTTTAATCACACTTTGAAATTGGATCAACATTTTCTATTAAACTTAATAGTAGCCGCAAATGATTATGTGAACTTGACACAAAACAACTTACCTAGTTGATGGCAAGTCGTGCGTGGCTCGACTAGCTTTGAACTAGAGAGTTACTTCCTTTTTATCGTTTAGTAATAATAAATCATAAGACTAACGCTTTTCCTTTTATAAAACATGAAGTCTAGGTGTTATAGGTGAATTTAATTTGTTCTATAGGAATAGCTAATCAACTAAGTTGTGTATGTTTTAGATTTTTCAATTCGCTTGATAATATTTTTTCTATTCGGCTAGATAATTTTCAAAAAGAGCTTTAACTTTGTTAAATGCTTGACAATAAATTGTTGCGCTACATCCTTTTTAAGTCTGGGCCTCAGATTTCTGTATTTGTTTTATGATTGTCAATCTATTAGGCAAGCAGGTGATCGGCCTTCTGTGCCTGACACACGCCGTCGACGTTTTTTGGATCTAAGGAAAGCTCACGATGTTTTCCTTTACCGTTCGAGTGAATGTTAAATGCGCACATAGAAAGAAAGTGCATTGGTGCATAGCCAGAGTTCGAACCTACGACCTCAGGGATGAGAGTCACACGCTGAAGCCACTAGGCTATCACTGCTTTTTAAAAATCCTCCTTATTCTCCTTCAGTCGCGCTCTTTATTTCTGAAGATCGCCTTAGTTGCGTCGCACTTCCTCCACTGTTCCCTGTCTTCGGCAAGCCTTCTTCAAGCAAGACCCTCTATTCCATTGGTTATTTTACAATTACAGGCCAGTAAAAGATCAACCTTCTATCCCTGACACCAAATTGTTGGGACTTGCGATGGTTACCCTTACCATATGAGCAAGTTAATTGCACGCAGACTTTGAACACACGACCTCAGACTTGAAAGTCACACAAAAGCAACACTGCTTTTTTCAAGTTGTCTGTTTGATGTCAACCCAACCGTAACACTCTCTTTATTTGAGAACTAACTGACAATTTTAGTTTAGGGTCATTATTTTTAAAGTTCATAAACCTACGTGTATAATGACTTAATAAATATATAAATAATCAAGTAAGGTGAATCAAACAAAAGTGGTTAAATACTGAATCTTTTATTAATAAAACAAAAATTAGTATTCAGCCACAGCCTTTTCCAAAAGAGGCAAGTAAACGTGGTCAGGATCGTACTTCTCCTCGTAGTCCCAGTAGTATTGAGGATAGTACTCCTTCAAAGCCGTCAGGAACCGGTTCCACAAATGCTTCTGGGGATCATTGCATCTGTGGCAGGCTGTGGGGACCGCTTCCGGCATGTTTTCTATGAAAAGATACATACCATTATAAATTCAATATACAATTACCAAAAGAGAAATTCGTGCTTCATCAAATCGTGATTATATGAGAAAGAAAATGTCTACCTAACCAATGCTTGGCAAAATTGCTTACATTTTGCTGCCTGTCTAATATTCTGCACATTATTAATCTGTATGCATTGTCTAAATGAATAAAAGATTTCATAATCCTTACATATAATATGTGTACTACTAATTTCAAACATATTTTCCTCTATTTGAATGTGACATCATGACTTACTTTTGTATGACTGACTCAGAGGGTCACATGGAGCACGGTCAACGAAGCAATCAATAAATCCTTTGACCAGTGTTGGATTCTTCATCGCTGTATCGATGTCCAAATAATCATTGTCCGTGGTAAAGTACACGATATCCTCTGCTATGGTCATCGCCACAAGGGCGGAAAGGATGATGAAGAGTTTCATGTTTCTGTAAAATAAGTTGATCAGTTGAGTTCCTTTTAATTACAGATTATAATAGATAATACTAATAAAGTGTTACAAAAACATCGCGATATTTGTTATATTCAAATTCACTCAAATAAAATATAAAACCTTACCAAATTGAGATCCAAATTGAACTGTGACAAGATAGAATGCAATATAGTTTATATACTAACTAATACTATTAGTAATAATTGTAAAAGAAATAAAATTTACTAATTAATTTTCCTTATTGCATAGGAAAAATGGTACTACTAATGGATGAAATTGTTAACTATCATTATTAGAACATCATCATTCATCATTATTATAACAATCTGTAATGTGCCTAAATGAAATATTAATTATTTATTATTGACTGCATTTCGTATTTTTTATGAGCTATCTTATAATATAATAACATATAATTAACCTTATCTCGGATGGCGCATCTATTCCGGGCTGTTTCGAGATTTGTTGTGTTTGCCCAAGGGAGCCCAATACTATCTGGTCAATATATTCTTGAAGCCTTGTTGTATGTACAAAAAATATAAACGATTTTAAAACAAATGGTGACTTTCACCATTATAATACTTGAAACTGAACAAATGCATGAAATGAAATGAAATGAAAAAGTTTTTTTTTCCAGAGGAACAAAAAAAACCCCTTTCAAAAACACTCCCTAACAAAAATAAAGGCAACTCTCCCCACCCCCCCCCCCCCCAAAAAAAAGTCCCAAACACCCCCGGGGGGGGCCCCCCCCCCTCCTCCTCCCCCACAACCACAATTTTTTTATTAAATTGGTGGAAAAAACCCAGGCGGGGCTGCCCGGCGGGGCGGCGGGGGGAAAGCCCCCCCCCCGCCCCCCCCCCCCCCCCCCCCCCCGCGCCCGCCCCCCCCCCCCCCCCCCCCCCCCCCCCCCCCCCCCCCGGGGGCGCCCCCCCCCCCCCCCCCCCCCCCCCCCCCCCGGGGCCCCCCGGGGCCCGGGGGCCCCCCCCCCCCCCCCCCCCCCCCCCCCCCCCCCCACATTCCCAAAATTTTCCCAATTTTCCCCCCAAGCCCGGGGGGGCCCCCCCCCCCCCCCCCCCCCCCCCCCCCCCCCCCCCCCCCCCCCCCCCCGGGGGGGCCCCCCCCCCCGGGGAAAAAAAACACACAAAAACACCCCCCCCCCCCCCCCCCCCCCCCCCCCCCCCCCCCCCCCCCCCCCCCCCCCCCCCCCCCCCCCCCCCCCCCCCCCCCCCCCCCACCCCCCCCCCCCCCCCCCCCCCCCCCCCCCCCCCCCCCCCCCCCCCCCCCAACCCCCCCCCCCCCCCCCCCCCCCCCCCCCCCCCCCCCCCCCCCCCCCCCCCCCCCCCCCCCCCCCCCCCCCCCCCCCCCCCCCCCCCCCCCCCCCCCCCCCCCCCCCCCCCCCCCCCCCAAAAAACCCCCCCCCCCCCCCCCCCCCCCCCCCCCCCCCCCCCCCCCCCCCCCCCCCCCCCCCCCCCCCCCCCCCCCCCCCCCCCCCCCCCCCCCCCCCCCCCCCCCCCCCCCCCCCCCCCCCCCCCCCCCCCCCCCCCCCCCCCCCCCCCCCCCCCCCCCCCCCCCCCCCCCCCCCCCCCCCCCCCCCCCCCCCCCCCCCCCCCCCCCCCCCCCCCCCCCCCCCCCCCCCCCCCCCCCCCCCCCCCCCCCCCCCCCCCCCCCCCCCCCCCCCCCCCCCCCCCCCCCCCCCCCCCCCCCCCCCCCCCCCCCCCCCCCCCCCCCCCCCCCCCCCCCCCCCCCCCCCCCCCCCCCCCCCCCCCCCCCCCCCCCCCCCCCCCCCCCCCCCCCCCCCCCCCCCCCCCCCCCCCCCCCCCCCCCCCCCCCCCCCCCCCCCCCCCCCCCCCCCCCCCCCCCCCCCCCCCCCCCCCCCCCCCCCCCCCCCCCCCCCCCCCCCCCCCCCCCCCCCCCCCCCCCCCCCCCCCCCCCCCCCCCCCCCCCCCCCCCCCCCCCCCCCCCCCCCCCCCCCCCCCCCCCCCCCCCCCCCCCCCCCCCCCCCCCCCCCCCCCCCCCCCCCCCCCCCCCCCCCCCCCCCCCCCCCCCCCCCCCCCCCCCCCCCCCCCCCCCCCCCCCCCCCCCCCCCCCCCCCCCCCCCCCCCCCCCCCCCCCCCCCCCCCCCCCCCCCCCCCCCCCCCCCCCCCCCCCCCCCCCCCCCCCCCCCCCCCCCCCCCCCCCCCCCCCCCCCCCCCCCCCCCCCCCCCCCCCCCCCCCCCCCCCCCCCCCCCCCCCCCCCCCCCCCCCCCCCCCCCCCCCCCCCCCCCCCCCCCCCCCCCCCCCCCCCCCCCCCCCCCCCCCCCCCCCCCCCCCCCCCCCCCCCCCCCCCCCCCCCCCCCCCCCCCCCCCCCCCCCCCCCCCCCCCCCCCCCCCCCCCCCCCCCCCCCCCCCCCCCCCCCCCCCCCCCCCCCCCCCCCCCCCCCCCCCCCCCCCCCCCCCCCCCCCCCCCCCCCCCCCCCCCCCCCCCCCCCCCCCCCCCCCCCCCCCCCCCCCCCCCCCCCCATGCGTACGACCAACCAGGCTCCAGAAGATAAACCACTCCTTATATGGAAATTGTATTCGTTTTTACAACAAACTCCCAAGCGAAATTAGAGAATTATCTCTGAATAAATTCAAAACTCTCGTTAAACGTAAATTAATCAATAAATATTTTTTTAAACTTTGACGATTATTTAAATGAGCCTAGGGATTGATTTGCTCCAGTACAAACAATTCAAATAAATTATATGATTCAAAACTTGGCGATTAAAATGAGTGGCGGAATTAATATTTTATGAAAGTAATACAATGAATAAAAAGAAATGAGCGTCTGAATACAGAGATTTTTGGTGCCCCAAAAAAAGGTGGATAGAAGAAATAGAAGCGGTAGCAGGAAGCGATTGGAGAAAGAAAGTCATGACAGTACAGAGTAAGTTTGAAAAAGCTAGAGGTGGCCAGTGTAGGGGTTCCGATCGTGGGTACTGAAAAATAAAAAATAAAATTATAAAATGTAAGAAATCTGAGCTGTATTTTTTTGTAATGGCTGGAAATTAAACGGGCTGTTATTTTAAAATAAATAAAAATAAAATTTGTTTATTATGATATTATCACTTATTCCACGTCACTAAATTTGAATCGTTAGACATCCGTACTCATCGGCAAAGAAGACAGAGGGTGTAGGCCGAGAGAAAAAGCAGGCGTAAAAAACTCTCGGTACTCTTTCAAAATAGCAAATCATCAAACAACACTTATTTTAAAACAAATATCGTACATTAATTAGAAGTAGCCTGTCTAGTACTAGTCCCAGGCTCTTTTATCCCCTAGATATAATTATTATATATCCCTGCGGCGTTTTGCTCTAGCAGGGATTAATGATAAAACTCAATTTATAACGCTACCCACTAAAACGGATGCCTTCAGCTCGCTAATGGGCAGAGACAGGTTACAGCTGAGCCCAATCCTTACCCCCGCCAAACGCGAATGTCACACTTGCACTCCTCCGACGCACAATTCTTCAGAAATTTTTCTTAGGGCATAATATGGCAAAAGCACGGCGTTTCTGCCCCGGTCGTCGTTTCCTTTCTGTTTTCTCGCTGTCGGTCCGCATTCTCTTTTTGCGTCATGACAGCCTCACAAAAATTCTTGAAGGCATTCTAGGGAGCGTGATTGTCAGCTTCCACCATTGAACCCACATAGGTTTTGTTTGGACAGCATATGAACGCCATAAATTAATATTTGTTATTTTATAATACTACAAACTGTAATTATTTCATTTTTATCTCACACACTGTTTTATTGTTGTTTTTTATAACTCTTTAATGTTTAATATTCTACGGTTTCGATATTTGTAAATATGTGAGGAAAATGTATACTAACGATACAATAATTGACCTATCCGCTGCATTGCTTAATTTGTAAATAATACTTTGTGCCTATTTTAGTATAGTAGTTTTATTCTAGGAGTACATTGTCTTCACATATAATTATTTAACTAATGTATACAAAATATTGTAAAACCTAATTTAAAAGAGTTAGTGTGGAGTTTCTTGCCCATTCTCCTCCACAGGAAACCTTTTGAAAGGGGCAACTAGAATCATCTTTATATTTTATTTAACGTTCAAAAGTGCCATTTTAGGTGGTCTAATTGAAATAAATGATTTGACTTTGACTTTAGAATATACAAAGACCCTTCTTTGTGATCAAAATTATAATCTCGTCTAAATATGATACCGAGCTATTTGTCCATTACTGTGACCTTAATTCGATCATTCTTCATAACAATTTGCAATACAAGTATGCATAATCGCAATATAAAATGTAATGGTAATATTAAACGTCAGCGCAACAAGAAATAATAATTGTTTGCAATTTTGATTAAAGTAGTTCATGCACTTCAATACTTTGGAATCTGGTACACCTTTTGACATATGCTGATAGACATTCCTCTTTATAGACTAATCTTTGCTCTGGTCCACTATTCATATGAGGAATTGTAAACATTACCCATATTCGGGCTAATTAAGACGTGATCACCAAATTTACTTAGCTCTTTGTGTAGAGATCCCAAGCTGTATTTCCTATACAATGTCAAACACAAGAAGGCGTAGTTACTCAGTTACTCACACAGGTAATGCAATCCCGATCTCACGATATCTCGTCCCATTTTCCAAGATCGATAGCATAACATGACGAGTTCTCGTAGGATTACCGAGTAGTATCAGAAAATTAAATGAAAAACCATGAACAAGAGTACCTCTGAGCGTCCAATAAATGCAACCGAAGCGTTGTTATATTTGAAAATATGTATATAACTTGAACAGTTGAGTGGCGGAGAGTTTCTTGCCAGTTCTTCTTGCCCGCTCTACGCCCTTGACGTGGGAACTGGTTGTAAATGTAAATTTAGAATCAATATGTAAAAGTGCACTTAGTTACCAATATGAATAAAGTTATTTTGAGTTTGAAATGCGTCGAAAGTCCATTTCCCTTACAAATATATCTATCGTACGGAAAATAAA